ATCATTATCCAGAAATGAAATCCGTATGTGTTTATGTGACAACATGCTTATGTGGAGTGAATTATTGTTGTCCACTGCATTAGGACGCGAGTGAGTTAGCTTTGGCACATTTGTAAATGTGCTAATCTCTTGTGTTACCTTCATTAGTATGTCAGGACGTGGACATGGTGGTGGTAGGCGTAGTAGGCCTAGGAGGCATAAGGTGCCTTTACTGGATGATATTCTGGCGCAAGAAGAATGGATTGGTCAGGCCAATATTGCCGAACCAGTAGGTCAGTAGGCCATGGGTGCCTTAGCCTTCAAAATGGTCGAAGCATTGCGGGAGTTTATAGACATTCTCAAAATCGAGAATCAAGTCCAGGCCTAAGTAACTGAGGCAGGGCCGTAATTCTTGAAGCAGGAGTTTTTTCGGTCAAATCTGGATGAGTTTTTGGGTGATCCTAAGGAGCCACTGAAGGCGAATGAGTGGCTAGAATAGATAGTGAAGACGTTCGAGATGCTTGGCATCAAGGACGACCAGCTGAGAATGACCTTGGCATCCTTCCAGCTGAAGAGAGATGCGGATCAATGGTGGAAGTATGCACAATGGGGTATTGGTGTGACTTAGGAGGCTTTTTTCAGCACCTTCCAAGATAAGTTTTTGCCTCCCACTGTTAGGGAGAAGTTGAGAGATAAGTTCTCCAAGCTTGTGCGGTTGGATACTCCGGTGGCCGAGTTTGAGGCCATATTTACTAGCTCGTCGAGGTTTGCACCAGAACTCATAGCGATTGAGGAGCGCCGTTGTTTAGAGTTCGAGAAGAGATTGAGGACCGGGCTCATGTTTAAAGTGGTTGGGTCAATGATTAGAGACCATGGACGCCTTGTGAAGGTAGCGGCTCATCTGGAGACCGTAATGCAGATGGAGGAGGAGATGATGAAGGGCTCCAAGAGGAGTTAGGATATTCAAGAAGACAGTAAAAAACAGAGGGGTTCTAACCTACAACAGTCCTAGGAAGCGCAGTCGAGGTCCACTTTTCCAATACCGAGTTCGGGTTCTAGGAGAAGTGGTTAGGGAGATGTCACTTGTTTCAAGTGTGGTCAGTTAGGCCACAAGTCTCTAGCTTGTCGCAGAGAGGAAGAGGGCAGCGGTCTGCACCGTCTTTGGCTCGTTCTCAAAGCTAGAGTCAAGGGAGAGGTCGGCCGCTCACTTGTTATCAGTGTGGGCAGGCAGGGCACATGAAGAGGTTTTGCCCTCAGTTGAGCGGTACACCTGGTATGTCTGGTTCAAGGCAGACATAGAGCCACCAGCCAGTATAGTCAGCAAAAGCCTTGAGGGCCAATCAAGGAGCCTTTTCAGCTTAGTCAGTGCATCATTACTACCGTCAGAGGGTTACTGTATGTACCTTGAGCAATGATTGTTTTTATTTTTTTGGAGACCAGCCTGATAGAGTCTTATCAGTGATTGTTTGTTGCAACCCTTGCCTATAGCCGAGTTGAAGTGAGAGCATATCACGATGGATTTTATTGTGGGCCTTCCGAGGACTCAACGGGGTAGTGATGCAATTTGGGTAGTAGTTGACCGGTTGAACAAGTCGGCGCATTTCATACCTATGCGCGTGAGTGACTCGGTACATTACCTTGCCGACCTTTATATTAGAGACATAATGAGGTTGCACGAGGTCTCTGTGAGTATTGTCTTGGACAGAGATTCGCTTTTCACGGCTTAGTTGTGGCAAAGCCTACAGAGTGCCTTGGGCACGAGATTGACTTTTAGCATTGCGTATCATCCTCAGACTAACAGGCAGTCCAAGCGTACTATTCAGATCCTTGAGGATATGTTTACGGGTTATATTCTTGACTTTAAGGGGTCGTGGGAGAGGCACTTGCCTTTAGTGGAATTTTCCTATAACGATAGCTTCCAATCGAGTATTGGCATGGCACCATTTGAGGCCTTGTATGGTCGTTCATGTAGATCCTCTGTGTGTTGGTCCGAGGTGGGTGATGCACCTATGTTGGGTCCAGAGTTAGTTCGGGAAACAATAGAGAAGGTTGCACTTATTCGTAAAAGATTGGCTACGGCCTAGAGTCACTAGAAAAGTTATGCTGACCGTAGGATGAGATCTTTGTCTTTTAAGGTGGAAGACCATGTATTCTTAAAGATATCAACTAGGAGAGGTTTGATGAGGTTCAGAAAGAGTGAGAAGTTATCCCCTCGATTCATTGGGCCTTTTGAGATCCTTGAAAGGATTGGAGAGGTACCTTATCGTTTGGCCTTGCTGCTACAACTTTCTAGGGTTCATGAGATGTTTCATATTAGCATGATTCGGAAGTATGACCGGGATCCATCGCACGTGTTGGATTGGACTGACTTAGAGGTAGATGAGGATGCCTCGTATGAGGAAAGACCGATGAGAGTCTTGGATACTCGGGACCAAATCTTGCGAGGCAAGACAATTTCTCTTGATTAAAGTACTGTGGAAACATCACAGGGTTGAGGAAACAACTTGGGAACGTAAGTTGGAAGTCCGTGAGAAGTACCTAGACTTATTTGTTAATATTTGAGCATGTATTGCAATTTTGATTATGTTAATGAAATATGGAGACATTGTATATGTTTTGAGAGTATGGAAAGATTGTATACGTTGTATGTGTTTGGAAACACGAATTTAATGTAAACATTGTATATGTTTTGGAAAAATGTGAATTGTGCTTTCAATGTTAGAACTTGTGTATCGAGTTGATGAGAATGAGTGACCGAAGAATGGGTCATGGTGATGGAGTTGATTAGTTATCTTTATTCTGATTGATTTAAACATAGTTTTAAAACTTGATTTGAAATTTCGGAGACGAAATTCCTTAAGAGGGAGAGATTAGAGCGATTTTGGTTTAGACCCGACCCATTTTGTATTCTTGACTCGGGTTTCATAGTTGCGTATTATTGTTCATGTCATGTTTCCCTTGTACACCCTTAAATTTGGTTATTGGATTGTAGTAGTTGTGTTTGGAACAAGTTGGTTGCTTGGTTTTCAAACCTTTGCTGCCCAAAATTTTACTCCTCCACTCGAGCGAGACTTCTTGCGCTTAAGCAAGCTTTGTGAACTATCAATACTTTTGCAGGTCTGCAAAATTACGGGGAGAATGTATTCTACTCTCGAATGGGTTTAACTCAACCGACTTTTCTTGCGCTCGAGCGTTGGTCTGTTGTCTGCAAAACTACTAGGAGTGTGCATTTGATGCTCGAGCGTCATTTCTTGCACTCAAGCGAACTGTGCGTATATCAGTTCATAGCAACACCCTTCTCCTTCACTTTTTCATATCGTTTCTCTCAAAACTCTAAAGTTAAGACCCTCTCTATTTAAAACCTACCTTCTCTCTATAATTTCATCTAAATCTAGTGGTTTCTCCATCCACGTGCTTTTGTTAAAAAGGTAGAGCACGCCGTGGGCTCTCTTTTCATCCGAACAAAAGTGGGTTTCGATTCCGTTAAGGTTTCTCCGCGTTCTCCTTGACCTCTTGCTTTGAGGTAGGGACTTTCTACAATTTTCTATGAGTTTTAGCTTAGTTATTTGTTGATGTGTAAGAAATATTGAAATCTTAGATGATTTTGGAACAAACCTAGGGTTTTGGTTTGAAATTAGAAGAGGGGTTTTCAAACGAATGTATTGGAAATGGTTATGGGGGTAGATATGAGGTTATGGTAAGATTAATTTAGTGATTTTGATACTTGGGATGGATTAGGAAGAAAATGGAGTTTTGCCCTAAAATGTCTCAGTTAATTATTTTGTATAAATAATTGGAATTACTGTTGAAATTGTGAAATTGGGTGAATGTTTACATAAATGGTGGAGTTGGACATGTATTACCACTCATTTATGGAAATTTGGATAATTTATCTGTATTGGATATGGTATATCTGTTTAGAAATATCTGTTTTGGGCTATCGGTGGAAGATAGCTATGATTGTTGTATAATATGCATGAGGATTAGGTGAATTGAAACTAATCTCTTATTCGTTGTCATTGAATATGGCTATGTCTTTAATACATTGTAAATGTATAATGATTGAGAGAAGAAATGAGATGTACTTCATGTTTGGGAGAAGAAAGGGGATGAACTCCATTGAACTAAATTGGCCTATGTGTCCAGGGTGAAAGTCCAGAAAACCGCACGTATATATGGGTGCCGATTCTCGTGTATAAAATATCCGTAAAATGACAAATGGAAGTGTTTGTGTAATGGTTGTCTTGGTTGGAGACCTACTGAGTTGTACCCTCAGTTCGGTTGTCTGAATAAAAGAGTGAATGACTCAAGAATTGAGATAAAATGAATTGAGATAACATAAATTGTGGTATAAAGCTTGGCATGGCATGATTTTGTAAAAGAGTTGTAAATGGTTTTATCATTGGTATTGGACATGCATCTCATACTCATATCTTTGTTAAGATTCATATATTGTGTTAGATTGTTTCTACTGGGTTTTGACTCATCCTATTTGGGAAAAACCATTTTCAGGTGTAGTGACATGCCTTCGCCAAGACAGTAGCTTTGAGGGATTGGAGCAAAGGCTTTTCTTTTTGTATTATGTTATTGTTTTGATTCAAACCAAGGGCTTTACATGTATTGGTTTTATATCCGCGTTTGTTGTAACAAAGCATGGTCTTGGAAAGATGTAAGCCTATAAGGTATTTATTTAGTTAAACTCTTTTGTACTATTAATTCTCATGAAACGAACGAACATTTTACTTCGATCCATATTGTTACTTACTTATGGTCTTGAATGAATTTACAGTGTTTATTTCAGGGCGTTACATTTTCAAAACTCTTTTCAAAACTTATTCACCAAACAAATTTTCCACACTCAAATCATAATTCCAAAACTCACAAATTCAAAATATAACTTTATTCTGAAATCATATTTAGAAAACTCTACCAAACGCTACCATAATTTCTCTCCCAAAAAAAACAAGCGCCAAAATGAATTCTCTCGTACGCAATCACCAAAACAAATACATTAGATTTTTTTCCCCACAAAATAAATCTTTGGCTTCTAATTGGTTTTAATTAGAAAGGGAACGTAGAAGGGAAAGGGTTTCAATCTCTCTAAGATTGAATCAATCTCTCTAGGGCTCATCTTCTCTTCGGTTGTGTATCTGAAATTAGAGTTATCTATTTCTTCGACATGGTGATCTTCCTGTAAGGAGTCCTTGGAAGCAACAATTGAGAGTGTATTTCATTGACTGGTAATTTGCTCATCTTCATCTTCATCTTCATCTTCATCTTCATCTTCATCTTTGGTTTTGGTTTTTTCCCCCCTCATATTTGTGTAGGTTCATAGATTGCTTCTTCCTCTCCCTACCTTATTTTATACGAAAATTATTTAATTTTGATTTTTTCTGGACATTCCCCAAGTTTATAATAACGGATTTCGAATGAGTTCCATTGTTTCGAATCTGATTCAAAACAATGAATCTATGAGTTGATGCTAGTTTTGCCCCTCAAAACCCAGGCAATCCCATCTAAAGAGTGTTGGGAGGCTTTGGTTGTTAAGTAATGCGATTAAAGATACAAAAAACCTAATAGAAGTATATATATGTATATATAGATATAAATTTGTTCACACTATAATTTTGTGAATTACATGTGAGGCTTTCCCACTTTGGTATTTGTTAACAGCTAAATAACCGGAGAGAAGATGAAAAAGATGATAAATGTGACTCCTTTTCATGCTTTAAAGTCTCTATTCATCTTTGTGGTAGATTTGCTGATAAATTTGTTGTTGTTATTAATATTATAGTCTTTGATGAGAAATTTTAATAGTCGATATAAGGACTAATTAAGATGCAGGGTTAGGCTATTTCTTATCTACTTCATTGTGATTAAATAATTTTATCTGCCTTTATTGTCTTGCTTTCATATCTAAATTTTATTATGGTTTATGGAATTTTGTTTCTTTTGATTACCATAGGACTTTTGTTTTCTATTTATGTTATATGTTGATAATAAATTGTGCGTACTGTATCTGAAAAGCTTTTTTTTTTTTGTTTTTGCACAACCTGATTGTTAAAGAGTTCAACAGAAACTTGCCTTTTGAGCTTCAATATAAATAAAACCCTTCACATGATCAATTGCAAATATTTGTTCTAGAGTTTTTCTCCCTCCCCTCCCCCCCCTCCTTTTTTTTTTTACAGCTCTTTAGTTTTTTTTTTTAGTGATAGGAATGGGTAAAATAAAAGTAAGCCCCCTTATTCTATGGTTTAGATTATTTGTTAGTTTGATTATTTAGATTGTTGGAAAACACATTGTCTTTTGTTAAATTTTCAAATATTACATTCATTAGGTAAGCAAGGATGATGCATTGTAGATGTATAGTAGTATGGTTACCCTTCAAACTATGGACACCATCTTCTACAAAGCACAAAGGCAAGGAAGAATTTCCTTTTATCTCATTTTTTTGTACTCTCTGCTTTCTTATTTGTTTGTCGTTTTGTCTTGACATAGGGGTTGCACATGATTGACCTCATGGAGTGTGCCAACCTAGTTAGGATGCTTTATGTTTTGGTAATGATGCAGTTTGGTTCCCTTAGTCTCTTATTTGTTTTTGCCTATGTACATTACCCTTCTTATCTAATCAATTTTTTTTCTTTGTTGATAAAAAAAAAAATAAAAAAATAAAAAGACAGGAAGAGTGCACCTAGATAATAGAAATGCATCAAACCCTTATCATGAATGTAGTGACTTTTACTTTAGAATAATTGCTGAAACAAAGGCACAGATGGATAAAAATGATCAAGGGAAGCTTCTTTTTCTTTTTTCTATTTTCTTTTGTGTGTGCGTGTATGGTTTTTTGTTTATTGAATTCCTTGAAGCAATTTTACAACCAATAGAATTCAAAGCTACATAACTCTATATATAATATTTATCAAAGTTATTATATATGTTTTGTCATTATTTGTTAAAGTGATTTCATATTGCATGTACTGTGGTAATGAATAACTATTGTAGGCTTTCTTGTATGATACTCACCATGCTAATGCATTCGTAAGGTTTGCATACTTTGTTTCTAAACTTGGCAACTAATCTAGTGGAAAAGTTAATGCTGTAGAGTGGCTCTGTATAAATTTTTATCAATTTTTCTCTGGATGGTCATAGTGGTGGGTTTGGTCCATTAGAGGGCAACATGCTATCAAAGCCTAGCTTCTCATGATTTTTCTGAATGAATGTTAGCTTTTTTATTTACACCCACTGTTGTTTGTAATGAAAGCAAATAACTAGGAATTTTTGTTTCTCTTGTCTTGAGCCTCATTTTGCTTCCCAATTATGTTAACTAATTTGGAAACATTTACATAGGATTAGGAGGAGATTGATAGATAATAATATAAAGTGTCTTTCTTGCTATGTGGAAAAGAGGCAACCTATGAAATTTTTGTAGAAGTTGGCAGTAGAGCTATCCTCGGCAAAAATTAGTGCTAAGTGCTAACTTTATAATTGTTATTATGAAGTAATCAAATCAATTTAATGCATGCAGGTATGAGCCACTATCTTATTTTGTTGGAAGGGAGTACTTTATCCATGTTTATGATCCAATATATGCTCTCTCTACTGATGTTGTTTCAAGCTTGGTTGCTCTAAGAAGGGAAGCTTCTGAAGACGAAATCCAAGTTGCTCGGAATTTTCTAATGTAAAGATATGAGGGGCACAAGCTGAGTGTTGATGCAATTGAATCAATCCATGATGGTGCACTCACAAGAAGATATTTAGGTAAATTTTGTATTGTTTAGAACTTAAAGATAGGGTTTTTTGTGTGTGTGTGCGCGTGCGCGCGTGTGGATGATTTAGATCTTTTTGGACGGTTTTGAAGTTGAGGACAATTTTTGATGTTTAGAGACATAGTTTTTGGATGGTTTAGAATGTACAGACGGTTTTCAGATGTTTGAAACTTATGAATAATTATTTTGATGTTTGAAATAATATTTTGGTGGTTGATTGATTCTTGTTTGTAATGTTTTTTAGATTGTACAAAACATGTGAAACAAAACTTGCTGAATTAAAAAAAAAAATTAAACATATTCTACCACTACAACAAAACTGAGCTTTTACGACTCCACATTAACGACATACAGTAAATGCAAGTCGTGGTTTCTCAATTTTACGACTTGCTTTTTTTGCATGTTGTAAATAATTTCCCAACCACGACGTGTCTATTGCGTAGGCCGTGAATGCTAATAATGATGATTTTTTTACGACTTGCAATATTAGCTGTAAATAATAAAACTTTCTACGACGTGCTTTTGGCATGCCGTTAATACATTAACTATACATGACACGCGTACGCCAGTCGTTAAAAATATTACACTTTTTACGGCGCACAAAAAGTCAACCGTTAAAAAGTACACTTTTCATGATGCACATATACTAGCCGTTAAAAATATTTTACTTTTCATGACATACAATTTCTGTCGTGAATAATATGATCAAAATAAAAATAGGCGCCAAAATAAAAATTTTAAGCGCCAAATACCAAAAAAAAATTTAAAAAGAAAAAAAAAATCATAAATTCTAACTCTTCAACCCCAAAACCAAAAACCTAACCTTCTATTCATCATCATCAAAAACCCCAATAACTCTTCAAACCCATACACGGTTACACTTCCTCTCTCTCCCCTCTGCCTCCGACGCCACCGCCACTGCCACTGTGACTGCCAGGGCGCCGCCATCACCTCCGTTACTGACCTCTCTCTCTCTCTCTCTCTTTTCGGCCTGTTACTTCAGGACATCGATTTGCTTCCGGCGGCTTACTTCTCTTTACATTTTTTTCTCTTTCCTATCATCTCTTTTCCTTACCAGATTGACGACGGTCTCCCCGCCCTTTACTCCTCTTCCATGGCTGCCACCGTCTTCACTCTCACATCTACTGTACACTACCACCACCACCACCACCGTCTTCACCATCTTCGTGCCATTCTCGAACGACGACGATATGAGATATGAAGGCTTCAAATCTGTTGGATTTATGGTAGATCTGAGATGTGAAGGCTCTTCCTCTACTGCTACAACCACCGAGATCAACAATGGAGGCCAAATCTGTGTTCAATTTGTGTTGGTTCATGATCTATGTTCAAAGTTATATATATATATGTAAAGCTTCAGTGATTTCTATATGTGTGTGTGTGTGTGTATGTGTAATTGTGTATTTGATTGTTCGATTTCCAAACCCTAATGGCGGAAATGGAAATTCGAAGTCTGTATATGTGTGTAATTAGGTATCTAATTGTTGTTTGATTTGGTTGTATCAACCACATTATGCACCAAACCTATTCGACGAAAGTCCTCTTTGAAAATTCTTTAGTATCTATCCAGTTTGGGAGCTTTTTAAAGATGTATGTTGTGCAAAGAGATGGGCGTCAAGAGACTCTACATTTCAACAAGATCATTGCTCGTTTCAAGAAGCTTAAGGACGTCACCACCAGCCAACTCGATGAATTGGCCGCTGAAATTGCTGCCGCCATGTATAGACACCCCATTTTTGACCGTCCTCAAAACTTGGACGTCACCGTTTGAACACCCGGTGATTATCCATGTTTGTGTTCGTTTGGAGTTCCCGGAGGCCTCGGCTACGCGCTTTGCCTCAGGATCTCCGGACTCGAATCTTTAGTGTCTGGTTTTGCACCAAACACTTGTGCTTTTGCCTTGAAGAGAGGAGAATGGCTTGTTGGCCATCCTCACTTTCCACCGGCCTCCCCCTAGCATCACCGGCTGTTTATGGGTGCCACCGGCCATGGTTTCTTAAAATCAATGGCCGGCCGGCACTATATTTGGCCGGCCGGCACTTTATTCTGCCGGTGACTTCTTTTGCTGGCCGGTGTGACTCCTTTGCACCCTTGAGGCATGGTGCATGCCAGCTGTGCCAGCTGGAATGCACCATCACTCCTCCCCGTGCGGTTTTGGCTGGTATGAGCCTTTGAACCCCTTGGTTCCTTCTAGAAGGATGAACCCTTGGCTAAGCTTCTTAGAGAAGTTTTGCCAGCTGTTTTAGCTTCTCCAAGAAGCCTAGGCTCCTTTGCACCCTTTGCCCCTTTCACTTGGCTTCTTGGAGAAGCCAAGAACCATTTGCTTAGCCTATATATAGAGCCCTCCTCCTCCATTGTTGAAGGTTGGGAGTTTTAAACCTAAAAACCAGAGCTTGTATACATATATCTGCTAGATATATCATCTCTCTCCATATTTCCCTCTCTCTCCTTCCTTAGTGTGTGTTTGGTAGCCCAAAAGTGCATTTTTACCTTATTTTTGCACTAATACACACACCATTACACCTTGCTCCGAGGTTGAGAGGCTTGGGGGGTTGATTCTTGAGTTTTTGGACTGATTTTGATCAAAAGAAGAGGGCTGGACCAACTGTTCTTCAAAGGATCTTCAAGGGTAACTACTTTGCTTTAGTTTCCCCAAACTTGCACTAGTTTTTTACCTATCTTGCTTGCCGTTTTAAGTTTTGTGCATAACATAAAAAAAGCTTCTATTTTCATGCTTAAGAACTTTCATTAAGGGTATTTTGTGATTTGAGTTCAAACTCACCCTCTTAGGCCTTATTTGGCCCTTTTGGTGCTTCCCCATTTGCATGCTTAATATACTTGCTTTACATTCCTCCATTTGGCCTAGGATTGTATCTTGTGTTTAGGCCATGATTCTTGCATGTGTTGGCTTGATTCCATGAAGATGTTGGCATTATTTCACCATGTTTAAGGTCTGTTGGCCATTCATTTCAGTCATACTTGCCTTGTTTAGTGTCATCTCTTTATGTTTTGGCTTGTAAGCTTTGAGCATATTGACCTCTAGCATGCGTAGCTATGACCATCCTCATGATTTGGCATCATTTAGGACCATATTTCAATCCATAAATCATGTTTATATGTGTGCATGTGTGACCTCTTTCATGCCTTGAGGGTGTGCCCTCTTATACCTAGAAATGAGCTTCGGTGCATACGTCTCTTTGGAGCCACTTGACTCTCGGTCACCGGGGCCTTTGACTTCGACATGATAAGGCCTTGGTCCTCATTTGTGTGTTGCATGCATTCTTACATCAAATGGCAAGCTTGATCTATTGGGCTATCGTGCACCATTGATGGCTCAAGGATCGAGGGCCATGCTTCCCTGAGTTCAACACATGATGGGAAACATGACCATGCTCACATGTGCCTGAAATCCCATGCCATATACTGTCTGTTCTCTGTTGCTGTCAAAACTGTCTTCTACAGGAAGTTTCTGCCGACCGGCAGAATTCAGTGCCGACCGGCCATTGGTGAATGACCGATAAATCCAGAAGCAGCCGATGGAAATTATGCACTGCCGGTGGGAATTTCCCCCAGTCGGTGGTACTTTGCAGTATGCAAAAAACCTGTCCCAGCACTTTGGCATTTTTCAGAGAAGTAGGGCAGTGTAAACAGAGACAGCCTTGGTATGGTACGGACTTTCCGGACGAGACGGGTTCGAGCATGCATCACTCGCGCATCCCGAGGCGGGGGGGTTGTGGCCACCTTTCTTTTTTTTCTGCATTCATTCTGTTAAGTAAATTAGAAATTCTGTAATAATTTATTTGTTTATTATTCGGACTGTAATATTCATGTGGTCCCTCCGAGTGAGGGCAATTGTGTAATAAGTGTGCGTGAGTGTGTGTATGTCTTTCAACCTCACGTCTTTCTTCCCTTTTATTTACCTGCTTATGATGGTAGATTAGGGCATATTTAAAATTAGCATACCTTATGCTATGCATGCGTGCATTCATGCATTTATATTGCATGCATCAGGCTCGGTACATCACGCTAACTGCATTTGTACTTCAATTCCAAATTGAATACGTGCATCAATTGATCGCATTTCACATGCCATGCTTAGGTTAGCCGAGCTTACTTTGATTGCATCCTGTGTGTGTTACATTAGGCAATTTAACATGAACTAGGACCACGCATGTTTGCTAACTAGTTTATTGTTTTGACACGGAGTACGATGTAAGTATTTATGTTTTAGTATACCGCATGCGTGTGAGTGTTGCCATGACAGTATGCTTGCCATGCGGCTAAATGATTATGTGATAAATTGTTTGGATGCCTGTGGGTGAAGGTTGGACTGCCTGAGTTGGAAAAGTTCATTGAAAATCTGTATTTTAGCCTACTTGCGAGTAGCAAATTCCAAAGTATTTTTCGAGACAAACGGATATGCAATGCTTATTTCCAAGTTAGGCTATCTAGTCTATACTTGTATGCTGTGCGCATCACATAGTAATTCTAGGCTAATAATCGGAATAAGAACACATAACATTTTCAAAACTGGATATCACGGTTAGTAGAGGCCGGTCTTCAGACCGGGTGAGAGGGGGTGCTCATAGCTGACCTTCCCCAATCGTACCCAAGCTCCCGAGCTGAGGCAACTTTGGCAATGACGGACACGTGGCCTTAGGCAAACGAGACAGGGTTTCCTAAATTCCCCCATAAAAAATATTTAGGTGGCGACTCTGTATCTGGCAAAGCAGTCCATGTTTGGCACTTCTTTTCAAAAAAAAAAAAAATCTGTTTCTCAAAACGATTTGCCGGATTTGGGCTCTTTGGTTCAGATTAAGAACCGTGACAACAAATCAAGTCTGAACTGTGGCGAGGGCCCCACGTGGGCGCGTCTACAGTTTCTGGCTTCACGCGCGGAGCCAGAGAGTTCTCGGGCACGTCTATAGTTTCTGGCGACTCTGCTGGGGAATTAGAGAACTTGACTCGAACTCATGATATCTTGTTTTGACTACACTTATGTGTTTCTTTGCATTGCATTTGCATTGGTGTGCCTAGGACACCGTGTTTGCCGTATGCTATTCCTGAACGATTTTCCAGAGGCTCACTTTGAGAAGCGTGCCATAAGGCTGACCAGTTGCGGGCTCTACTACGACGGGAACACAAACCCCGATTTTTACCGGGGCACCCTTTTTGACCATTCGACCTAGTGCATATCGGAAACTGTAGTGACCATTCCAAGCTAGGACATGTTGCTTACCCGATTGTAGGTTGTTTGAAACCATTTCGTGCATAGTAAAACCCTAGCTCCTGAGAAAATAGAACAGGGAAACCCTACCCCAACATAGGGGTGTTTTGGCTCACATTTGCTTGCTATGTGCTTTTAGAGTTGGCCTCTTCAGGAATGCACGTATCAGTTTGCAAGTCTGGGTATCAGGCCTGCGGGCATCAGCATCAGTATATGGGAATCAGTTTTACTTGTGGGTATCAGATTTAGATTTGGGACAGTGATTTGGGAACATTGATTAGTGGTTGAGAACAGTTCTTTCAACTTGTGTTTGCCAACTGTGTGTTGTCTTAATTTAAGCTGTTATGCTGTCCGTTTTTCCGTTCATTGTTTCCTTATTATGCTTTATTTATCTTTTTGCAAGGTAGTTTAGCACCATTGCATCCGACCAGGCAGATATTCCCCGAGCACTCTGGGTTAGAGGTCGTAGACTTAATCGATCTAGGGATCTGATAGACGGACAAGCAGTGTTCCTTTCTTTACCCCCGGTTGCTAGACGGAGGTCAAAAAGGCGCAGTGTATCGGTACAGCGATTGTCAAATCAGTTATCCACCCACTAGTGAAAAGTCAGGCTGAGGTTTTAGTTTCTACTGCAAGGACAGATATACCGGTTGTTCAG